GTTTCAGAGGAGTGATCACAGCGCTCTGTATCATCAGCGATGTGTCTGTCTCACGGCCAGCTCCCAGATCAGCTTCTCTGATTGGTTGACGCGGCGCGTCGAGCAGCAGAAGTTCAATTTTTCCATCTCAAACTGCAGCACGTTTGCGGTGCGTCACACGCGTCAGATGCTTAAACGTGCCCGACGCGCTGCTTCAGCTGCTCAGACGCGCTGCGCCTGCTGCTCAAAACGCGCTGCGGGACATTTTGCTGCGCCTTGACGTGCGTCAACCATTGACTTTGCATGTAAACTCACTGCTTCTGCCGCGCCTGCTGCGTCCGGTGTGAATGTAGCAACAGAGTCAGAATTCTTTTTACTCATGAAGAGAGTAGGAAGAGATCGTGCAGTTACATCTCCACCCCACTCTGCCGGTCTTCAGCTTTCTCCTCACTATTTATTAAATTCTGGGAGAGTTTCCTAGTTACAAAAGCTGAGGTTGCACTAAAGGAAAAGAAGAGAAAATAGGCAATTCAATTTGCAGCCTCAGTGCACAGGTTAATTTGCATTTAAATGTCTTGTGGTCAAATGGTCAGAGAATGGCTGGTTTCATTAAGCTTGAGCAATACTTCCTGAAAGTTGACCTACACTGCTTGTGCAACAACTCTTGAACTCTGGAACAGTAATATGTCGCACATTATACATCATAAGAACAAACATTAAGTATCTTGTACATAATTATTCCAAAAGCGTTGTTTTAGTATAAACTGTATTGATGTGATGAAGGTCAAGTGAGTTTGGCAGCAGCAGAAGGTTCTCCATCATTTTCATAGTTTACTGCAACCTCATCAACAGCATCATGAACCTGCGAGGTAAAACCAATCATTCACCTTTATAATACAGTTATAGAAACAAACATTTAAACATTTAAAGAGAAATTTCAAAGCATTCACTTACATTAACGTCTTTCCGTGGCTTTTTCCGTCCTGTGAAGGAAAGAAAAATAAAATGATTAACATCAAAAATCTGTAGATTTGGTCCATTGTGGTCCATTTTGCTCACCTCTGGTTCTGATGATATCAGCAGTGATTCCAACCATCAGGATCAGTGCTGTGATCCTCAGAGTCAACATGATGAAGCTCAGAGGAGACCAGTCTGTGGAACCTGTGGATTTAGAGATGGAGCAAAGAAGCTGCTGTTTATTTTGGTTCTGATTTCAGAGAAAAATATTTTTAACATGATCGTGGATTTTCCATCGGAATCAACAGCATCTTCTCTCCAACACAGAATCTCTATGATCTGTGTCATATGTTGAATAAATAGACCCAGGATATGTAAAGGGAACAATTTAAAAAAAAAAGCAAAACAAAGGATGTTAAAAATTATTCTAATAACATAAATCAACCTTAAAATAGATTTCTAAACTTTAAAACTGCTCAGTATGTCTGGTTTGGACAGGGTGAGTGAACAGTGGGGGGCTGGTGTGGGATGAGGTTCAGAGTTTGATTGGCTGCATTTGGACTCTACCACTCAGTTGGCGATGGATCCTAGGCTTTTTTATTCTAGTCCAATATAAATAGTTTATAAGATTTTTAAAATTATAAATAGAAAAAAGTTTAACAGAGGTTCTGTTTAGATTTTTTTTATTTCATAAAAAGAAAAACTAAAGGAGCTTTACGGATACACGCTATAGAAGAATAATACAAAAAATATCAATTTATTGAAAGCTTTATAGAAAAGTCCTTGTTGTAAAAGTGCTGTATTGACCAAATAAAGTCAGTACATCACAGGGAGAGCAGGAGACAATCCCACAGTCATGGTGCCACTGAGTTTAAAACCAGTCCCTAATGGTGCTGGTGTAGCTTCCAGATCTGCTCAGGTTCTGCTTCATGCCAGTGACGTTACGCTACATGATTGGCTTAACGTTGCCACATGATGTAAAACATTGTGGTTGCCCAGACAACGATAATAACATCAAGCTGCCTCAGTGTACCAAGTCTGGAGCATCTGTAACATTAACGTGTCTAATGACCGGTGAAGTTTTACCTGATCTATAACAAAACTTTAAAAAATCTGTTTATGGTGAACAAGGTAACTGTTAGACCGTGATATATAGGGGATAACTGGGTAGCTATGTGGTTAGTTGTGCTCACTAGCTAACAGGTTAGCCTATTTTAGCTCAGTCAGGTAGACACATTAATAAAAATAATCTGAGACTTTTTTGTCACCTTGTTAAAATGCAGAGCTCAGTCTTACAATGCAATACTTTCCTTCAAGCAGACAAGGATTGTTTTCTACAGTCGGCTACTTTAGATCATCAATGAAATGTAAAATAATAGCAAATATAGGTAATAATAAAAAGTTGAGACGCCGTATTTTGATGTCATAAGAAGGGGCAGAGCCCGAGCAGATCTGGTACATGCACCGGCAGAGTTTGAAGGTTGACCTTCATGCAAACATGAAGGAAGATGGAGTTTCAGCAGATCAGCAATATATAGAGAAAGCTTGACCATGTAGGGCCATAAAGGGGAAGACTGAAACCTTAAAACAAATTCTAAAACTTACTGGAACCCAACAACGAGAAGCAAAGACAGGAGAAAGAGTGAGATCTTAATATTGGTGCCAGTTTAAGGTCTTGTTGCAGCATTTTACAGGATCTGAAGACAGTCCAAAGCGGATTTATTAAATCTGGAAAATTTTATGATGTAATAATCTAAATAAGCAGAGTTAAAATCATCTCAAGTCCAGCTTTAGAAATGAAGAGTCAGAGTTTTCAGATGTTGATAAAGTGATAAAAACAGTTCTAAACCAGATGTTTGGAGTGATGCTTAAACAACATCAGACTGTCAGAGAGGAAACCCAGAGTTCTTAAACTTGATTATTCAGTGAAGCCGATCTGTTTTCTGATACCTGGGATCATCAGGTCTGGAGCTGTTATCAACATTTCAGTTTCTCATTATTTGAATGAAGAAAGTCAACATGTAGCCTGTGTTTGATATCTGTCAGGATATTTTGGATCCAAAACAGAACCCTGAGGTACCCCACAGTACAGATCAGCTGAATCAGACATTCCCAGATGTAGACAGACAGTTAATGATAGGTAGGATGTGAACCATTGTAAAACTGCTCCAGTAATTCCAAACAATTCCTGAAGCCTGTTGATCAGGATACTGTGATCAACAGCAGGAAAGTTGAAGGAAAGATTCTGCAGAAAACTCCAGAATTTGCTGCCATTGAAATGTCACCAGACTTTATAAGGTGGTTCCTGTAGAGAGCATTTTGAGAAAGCCAGACTGGAAAATATACATCAGATTTGCTTTCTCCAAAATCCTTGTTATGCAAGACTGTTTGGATTTTGTCTGAAGCTATTAGAAAGAGATGGATCACAATGAGGTTCCCTTAATATTGGTTTAACAACATATTTTAAAGAAGCTGCAAACTGAACCAGCATGAAGATGAAGGTTAATTAATTCTAGAACACAGGGTCCAATATATTCAAGATCTTGATTAAAAAAGGAGCAGGGAGAGAATCAAGAGGACTGGATGGCTATTTGATCAAAACAGACTACCAGTGGAATGAATAAAATGAGCTCATAAAATACTAGGTTCATTTATTGAAGAGGTACAGTTACCACAATGGTATACAGAACATTATTCAGACATCTTCCAGCATCTGCAATTTTTCTGCATGGCAATACGAAAAAAAAAAGACACAGAATGGAATCTTGGCCAAACTGACTTGTGAAAAAATGTTTTACAAAAAAATTATGGAAACTGTTCTGCCATCACAGCAAAATTTTATTTCAGGAAGGCTAAGTGGAAGTAGGCTACCAGTGTCATATATTTCAAGGGAAGTTCAGAACAACGAAGGCCAATGAAATTCTGTCATTTTAACGCTGTCTGGTTAAACCAGACCTAACGGTAATCACATCTTTCTTTCAGATCAGAATGAATGTGTAAGGCCACTACGATATCTGTGTAAGAATGGGACTTCCCGTGCTAATGGCTTGGATTCGTTAGCAAACATTGCTCCCCTGTGGTACTTTTTGTTGAGAACTGCCCAGGAACATCGTTGGTTCTAATTATAGCCCCAGCCTGTATAGGAGTCCGGCTATTATTTACCTCCACCTGCTAATGAAATACAGGCCAATATTAGAGGACTAACGGTATCCAGTGTTTGTCCATTTTTATAGGCAGGCCCAGAAACATGTTGCTTTAATGTATAAACTCTATAATATTGACTAGTTCTGCAGCCATATAACAGAACAGATCATCAATAGGAAGAGTAAAATTTACTAATATTAAACCATCCTCCATCATGGTTATACAAGCTAGAAATTGGATAATTTACACAAAAATATCCTCCCTGTAGAGACAGATGAGTAATGACATCATACCTTCCAGCTGGTAGTGAGCTTCTATCTTCACTGTGTTTCCCTCAACAAACTGGCAGGTGTATCTTCTGCTGCTGCTGCTGCTCTGAAGCTTCACAGTGAGATAAGAATCACAGCCAGTCTGTCTAAACTGGTACCCAACACCTTCACCAGTCAGACCAGTTCCTGTCTCATCCACCCAGAGGAGGCTGTTCTCTGGACAAGGACCCAATGAGCTGAATCTCACCAGAGAACAGAGTAATGTGATTTTATTCTCTGTTTGATCAGCATCTTCTGGAGAGACTGAAATGAGAAAACCAACAAAGACAATTTTTATTTCCAGGTTAGGAAGGACTGATATCATCAGGAACACAGAGTCAGTTCAGATCACTCACTGCTCATCAGATTTAGATACACATCTGGATCAGAGCTGCCTCCATCCTGAATCTGACATCTGTAACCTCTAGCATCCTCAGCAGTGATGCTGTTGATGATCAGAGAGCAGTCATTGTCCACACTCAGCTTGGCAGCTTTAGATGAACTCTGAACAATGTTTCCTCTCTGAACTTCCTGCTGAGGATTCATGTCTTCATCTCTCATATAAAGCCAGTTAACAGTGGAGCATGAGGAAGAGGATGATGAAGGTCTTTTACAGGGTAAAACAGCATCATCTCCAGCTCTGTGGTAGATATGGACTCCTCCTCTGATACCTGCAGAAAAAGACACATTTAGAGAAACAAAAAATTTAGAGAATATAAAAATTACGAGAAGATTGTAACAGAAGGATCTATTGTTGACAATTTACAACCACAGATCTTTGTATTTCCTTAAAAAATAGAAATGTATTAATTTCCAGTTTACCATATCATTTTCCTCTTTTTTATTTTTTACTGAGATCCTTAAAGTTGTCATACAGAACAATGCTGATGAGCTTTTAGTTCTTGCCCTCACAAAGACAAACACATTATATTTTCATAAAATTCCCACACAAGTGTACACAGCGGCAATGAAGACGCCGTAGTTCATATGCTAGGCCATTTGGTGGTGCTGACACAGAACACACCCACACCACTAAGATAAACACTTGGCATGCACAGACTGGTTACAGAGGTTGATTCATTGTCAGACAGAAAGATGTGGCTTGAAACATGAAACCGGCATTTTTCTGGAATTTTTCTGACATATTAAAATGATTCATCAGATTTAACTGTGACCGACTATATGTTCTTTCTTTTAGCCATTTTACATCAGGACCAACTCAGACCTGATGTGCTGAACTGTACCCTTTCCTAAATACTTGCTGTGAGGGATTGTGGCAGAATCAATCACACAGTTCAAGTGAATGTCTACCATCCCCACATGTTCACCCATGAGGAGCGAATCCTGCCAAGTCAACGACGCGATGCTATCAGCTCGTTTTCTTTAGATAAAATAAATAAATAAATAAATAAATATATATATATATATATAGATGTGTATAAATATATACACATCAATCCGGTCAATCTGACCCTATGATCTGATTGAGTTGTCTCTGTAAAGTGCCTGTAGATCAAATGTGTTGTGAATTGCCGCTATATAATAGAAATGAACAGAATTGACCCCTTAGGCCCTGAAGGTCTTAGGAGCAAATTCCGGCTGAAACTACATATTTGAATTAAAGCAAGTACAGGTCCAGTCATGTCAAAAAAGAAGCACAGGAAAAAAGAGGAGTGAACTTGTGTTGGGACTTCCTGTTTGGGTCTTCCTGTGATTAAAGCACCAGCACACCCATGTGTGGCAGTTTTGGCAGACAAATGAAGAGACTGGCACCCAGTCCCGTCTCATGATTTAATCACCAGATACACAACTGGTAAGGAGAAAATAAAGTTAGCTATTATTATTAATATATTGTTTATTAAAAAAAAAAGTAGAAGTTGAGTTAGAAGATATTGTAGTATGGCTTGTGGCCTGGTAATATTCAGTTTGTAATTTGCTTATGGGTGAGCCACAGTGAAAATGTTTGATTTAAAAATGTTTGTTTTGAACTAATTCAGTTTCTGTTGCTCGAATTGTTTGTTTGTTTTAAACTATTACACTTCTGTTTGTCAATTTGTTTTAAAGGTTTTCAACCTAAATCTCAGTCCTAGATCCCAAATAAAAAGCAAAAATGGAAAAGGATTTGAGTTGTGCCTGTCGTCCTTCTTGGTGATGACCAGCCATATTCAACTTTGGGCAGGAGCTGAAGCTAGAAACCCCACATAACTGGACAGTTGAAAAACAGGCGCAGTGGATACAGGGATTAAAGGCCCAAACTCAAGGAGGTTGTCGACACAGAGTACCAGCAACAATGGCAGAGGTAGCTCTCGGAAAGGGAATAAAACAGCTAAAGCAAGAAAGAACAACAGCTAAAAGCGCCTTCACCAAACAAGCCAACTTCCTGAGCTGGGCAGCAGAGAACATGAGCAAGATTGAGTTACAAGGGGAATTCAAGATGCTCACATCTTACGTGAGGGATGTCAGTGAAACAAATGATGATTATCATGCTGGCCTACTGGCAGATATTGAGTAAGCTGGAGAAGAGGAGGACGAAGCAAAATTAAGCAGAGAGGTGCAAGAAGACCTAGAAAAGACAATGAGGGACTGTAATAATAGACTGAAAGAAGTCAGAGAAATAGTCCAGCAAAACCTCTGGTCCAGATATGGGGAAGATGAGGTTAAGTCTGCAATTCAGGAAGCAGAAGCAGCCTGTGATAAAACTGGTGAAATCCCAACCTGCTGTTAATAAAGATGGCTATAGACTACGAGTAGATGGTGCAACTAAACTGTGTCCAAGATGCAACTACAAACCTTTCAGCATGGGAAAAATGGACCCAGAGGAACAGAAAGCAGGTCTGGATGGCAGAGTAAAGGGTCTGAAAAATCTGATTAACAACCTTGAAGCCAAAAGGCCAGAATTCATTATAGCACTAAGAGTTTCAGAAATGAAAATTGGACGGAAGCTTCCTGATGTAAATGCACAGGTCACACAGCCAATTCAGCCACCAGTACTGAGAATCAAATCAACCCGTCTTCTAAAATTTTATGGAATCAAGAGGAATTTCCATCGGTGGAGGAGAGACTGGGAGAGTTTGCAAAAGCAGGGAGAGCCTACTGGTTTAGCTGAAGCAAAGAAGATCCAGCTCCTGGAGAGTGTTGAGGAGAAGATGAATAGGGACCTGCAGCTATCCTCTTACGATACAGCTTAGGAGATGTTCAGAGTGCTTGAGAACAAGTATGGGAACAAGACCACAATTGCCTTGGAAATAATTGAGGAACTGGAAAGAATTCCTGCATTAAAGTCAAATCAGCCAAGGAAAACAATTGAATTAATACAATCTGTAGAGATGGCCATCAGTGATCTAACAGAGCTGGGGGATTCAGGAGCCCTCAAGAACCGTCTGGTCATTAAATCCTAGAAAGCCAAGCAAATTACCAGACAGCATGAAGAAGGACTGGCTGGTATTCATTATCAACCCAGCAAATGGTGTAAAGTCAGATAAAGACTTTGAGACCCTCCTTGGATTCCTAAAAACTCAAGAAGATATCCTTGAAATATTAGACCAACTTCAAGTGGGTGAGAAGGCATACAAAAGGCCTATTTACATGGAGAGAAAGTATGATTCAACCAAATCTACAAGAAAAGGTGGGTGTGTAGTCTGTGGAGATGAAAAACACAAAGAAAAGATTTTCTTTTGCAAGAGGTTCAAAGATCTAAAGCCAAGTGAAATGTTGGATACTGTGGAGAAATCGGGAGCCTGCAAGAGATGTCTAATATGTCATGAGGAAGATGAAGGATGCAAAGATACTCTGTGTAGAAACCAAACTGTAAGAAAGGGAGCTCTGCAGACCACCATTTCTTTCTATGTCGGAGAGGAAACTCCAAGAGAAGTGAAGTAGACAGAAAATCAAGTGTGAAGCACAAAAATCAAGTGTGAAGCACAAGCTTACAGAGGATATTTGTGTCTGAACTGTTCCCAAAGATGACAGAAAGGTTTAAAAGAGCTTTCACCAACATAACAGCAAAAACACACTGTGCTGAGAAGAACCAACCTGGTGGGATGGAGTCATGTGAGCTGCCAGTTATTTTCATGTTGTTTGAGTTGACTACAAATGCAGGACAGAAAATTGGAACACTGATAGACTTGGCATCAGACACTAATTATATCACCCATAGACCTGCCAAGGAGATTAAATCTGTACAGTGAAAAAAATCACCCGGGTCATCCATGGGGTGGGAGGAATAGCCATGAAGGTCAGGACCAAGAGGTACCTGCTCAGAATGAGGGTCAAGACACCTACAGGTACAGAGAGAGTCCATGAGCTTGTCTGCTATGGCCTAGATGAAACTGCTCAAGTTCACAGAGCAATAAAACCTAAATTCTTCCCAGAAACCAGCCTAAAAGACCTGCATTGGCCTGGACATATTGAACCGCTTATTAGTCACTGAGAGGGAAGACTTGCTCCACAGAGAGTGAAGATGATTGGAGACCTGGTCCTATGGGAGAGCCCATTAGGAAAGACTGTTGGTGGAGCACATCCAGATCTCTTTGAGGAAGTGGGTATGGCTGCGCACAGATCTGAAACGCACTTTGCCCAATCCATGACAACCACTGTAGCAAAGTACCAAGAGCTAATTGAAACTCAAGGGTTCAAAGCTGAAACCAAAAATACAGTTGCAAGCAGAGTTTTCTTGACTGGTGGAAATGGGATAGCATTGGAGCAGACTGTGAACCAAAGTGTGGAGGATGCAGGTGTGGCAATTGTCATCCTGGAGGCAAGGAAATTACATTAGGTGAAGAAAGAGAGATAGAAATCATCAGAAGCTGTCTCACCTATGTCAAAGCAGATGCTCATAGCAGCAAACCAAACTGGGACGCAAACTATCCATGGATTGAAGATCAAATCTCTCTACCAAACAACAAGAGTGGAGTGGTGGCCATTTCTTTAAGAGCAGAGAGGAAACTCAAGAAAGAACCAGAACGGAGAGTGGCATATGGAGCACAAGTTCATGAAATGGTGGAAAGGAGAGCCGCAAAGAAACTTACCAAGGTAATGATTGCCAACCAGAAGTGACCAATATGGTATGTCAGCCACTTGGTGGCTCCAAATCTACATTCTGTCACAACACCTGTTCATTTAGTATGGAATAGCAGCCAGAAGTACAAGGGAATCAGCAGGAACAATCTCCTGTTGAAAGGGTCTGATGTCCTCAATCTGATCCGAGCAGTGCTTCTCAGGTTCAGAAGAGGGGTGCCTGCTGAACTTGGTGATATCAAGAAAATCCAATCCACTTTATTTGTATAGCACATTTAACAACAGAAAAAGTTTTCAATGTGCTGTACATAACAAATAATAAACAACAACACAATACAACAATGCATAAACACAATACAACAATAATTAACTAAAAAGGACACAGAGGACCACACAAACTACACGTTGTTAAAAGCCAAAGAGTAAAAGTGGGTCTTAAGACAAGACTTAAAACACACCACCATAGAGGCAGTCCGTATATGGAGGGGCAAAGTATTCCAAAGTCTTGGGCCAACTACAGAAAAGGCTCTGTCCCCTCTGGTTTTAAGCCTTGTCTTAGGCACTATTACCTGCAGATGGCCCTCAGACCTCAGAGCACGTGCCTGAGAATAAATCTGGAGAAGGTCATTGAGGTATTTCGGAG